CACTGAAACTTGCCCGGCTATAAGCTAAGACTCCCCTCTATGTTACTGCCATAGCCCCACTCCCCTTCTCTCTCTTAAAGTTCAGCAATAAAACCAGTCTGGAAACATAATAGCCACACCTCGTATGTATCCTAAATAAGCATAACAAGCATATGTAAAGAAATATGTAAATAAGTATGAATGTATGTAAATATGTAGTCCAATGTCTACCGTCAAACCGTAATTTGAGATATCAATACATCAATAAGAATGAAATCAATGAACATTAACAGTCGCAAAAGTAGTTGTATCAGCAAGAGAAATGTATTTCATGTGCAATTGTCCAATAGTCAAAATACTCAGAAGGGAAAAGCGCTTGAACAGGAAGAGGTCAGTTGATGAGAACAGACAGGAATCGAGAGAAAGAGACATTCGCTATCGCAGTAATGGTATGAGGAAACAGAGAAACCTATATGAGTCCGAAAAAATCGATTTCTAGCAAAGGCAAATGATACCGTCATTGGTGCCTCATTTCCTTCGTAGCAAATTCGGAGAGCGGACAGCTTTTCCCTTTATCCATGTTGTGATATATTCATGGCACTCTCCCGGGTATAACACGCAATAGGCTCCGTATCACCTGCTTTTTTTTTTACAAGGAAAACATTTCTCCGACGCGTTATCACACGATGTTATCCATTTCCAACGTGTGGGTTTTCACATCCGCGAGAACAGGCCCTTTTCACTACAAAAGGGGCATCGATGTGATCCAATACGCACCGGTCCTCTCTAATAACCATGTCTCGCGCACCTTAAAGATGCAGGAGGCTCTGACCTTCTTCTCCCTTTTCATACTCTATACCGTTCCCGGGACAAGCGGGCAAATTCTTTGTCCCGATCCTACTGAAATCTTCCCCTGCACTTGCTCCCATTCTGGAACCGAGTTCACTGCGAATGTGGACTGTTCGGAGGCGACTTCGAGTGACGACATCTACTCTGCCTTCAACGACGTTGCCTGGCCCGTCCAAAATCTCCGGTAAGATGATATTGTGAGCAAGATCTAGGAAAGACCTCTTTGCCCACTAATCTTTTCGAAATTCAACATGAAAGTTCCAGCGTCTCATCAATGCCGCGGTGAGACCATGATAAGAATCCTGAGTCCAACTACACTCCTTAATGCACGGGGAGTCAGTGCGTGGCAATTAAGGGTTCGTACCGCCCAAGGTAGGAATTGGAAGAAGTTTCCGCCAATTTAGATTACGGATTTACTGCATATGACAGCATAATCATCATTGGAAAATTTTGCAAAGAGCGATTACCTTCTTGACTGAATAAAACTGGGTCAAATCTTTTAAACAGATCCTTCTCAATGGAATCCTCTGGTTCAGTATAGCCGATTGATCACAATCACTGGTGTAACTCAATGCAGCTGGAATTTATTCATATTCACACTCTTGTTTGCAGACAGTTTCTTCTGGAAGGGAACAGTGACGTTTCAGTGCTGCCCGAAGGAGCTTTCGGCGATATCAGTTTCGAGGAAATCGTCGTCTTCCAGACCTCCGTGGCCAGCCTCCATTCCACGGCCTTGTTACCCTCGAAAGATCGACTTTGGAGGTTGACTATCTTGGAGAGTTCCTTAGAAGAATTCCCTTGGGAGATCCTCCCTCAACTTATCAACCTCACGCACATCTATATGTCAGGAAATGCATTGACCAGTTTGCCGCCACTTCAAAGTGCAAGTCTCCAACACTTATCCCTCTGGAAAAATGTAATATCTCACGTCGAGGCAGGATGGTCTCTCCCAAATCTCAGATCTCTCAGCTTGAGTAAGTGCGAAAGCCTTGAATGTTACGACTAAAAAATTAATGACTTGGTCCATATCGTCGAATCTTTCTTTCGAATTGGCAATGAAGGTACATGTATTCCTTTTACAATGAAACACGCGCATGCGAATTTCGATGCATATCCTCAAGGGCTCGTATCTGCGACCAAATTTCGAATCAGACTGCTATGAAATGGCAATTTCGTAGAGAGGGAGAGAGCTCCGCCTGAATCTTGTTCATATCTGCCTGCTTGACTATTTTCGCTTTCGGCTGGTTCACAGTCATCTTAGTCATCGACGTAGGGCGAAAACGTAACAGATGGAAACAAGATCACACGGACGCATGGACACACAGACGGAAAGAACGGGACCGTCAGTGGACTTTTTTTGCTTCCCATGCGTTCCCACGGCCCTCATTGAAAGCACATTCGAGACGGAGGCGCGTAGGTCTCCCATTCTCATTGAATTCGTGTGTTAGCCAGAAGGCTGGTGACACAGGATCGCAGTGAATGTGAGACTGGAGGCAATATGCCTTAGGAGCCTTAGGCCTCCAGATCTGCTCGAGGGAACGTTTCCTTATCTTGCCTAAACAGCTAAGTTTTTTTTTTATAGCATACCTAACTACTCGTGAGTGGCTTCCCTTAGGGAAAATAAATTCGCTGTGGACGCGCCTTCGCGGCTTTACGATCAGAGTAAATCATCAATACATTTTCAGCATCTGGGTTCAATGGGCACACGTGCCAATTCGGCGAAGATCCTTGTGAGGCGAGGGGATTTTATCCTTTTGGCTTTTTGTTTAAGACATTGTGGTTGGTTGTGCAAAGTGCCAAGGAAATTTTGAATTTGGAAGAAGCGGAGAATTTCCCCCCGAATATTCTCGTTGGAATGTGCAGCGCCTTTCATATCACCACTGACATATCATTTTCCCTTGTACGAAAAGCGTCAAGGTAACCCATTGCCACTTATCGCTCTCTCTCGCATTTCCCAATTATTATTCTCCCAAGAAGCTGCCACAACGTAAATAAAACCCCCTATGGAAGAATCAGCAACGGAGCTTTTTTTTCAGCTAGCATTCGATCCGTTACGATTCCTTTCAATTTGAGCTGCGCTTCGAAGGTTCACGCCTGACTAAGTCGATCGTACCATCTTCTCTGACGAGAAGCGTTTCCATGTGGAAACGAATTCGATCATCCAATATAACAAGCTCTAGGAAAAGGAAGCAGAGGTCACATCAATCAATAGTCCGTGATGAGTTCTACTTGTCCACCATGAGCATGTCTTCGATCCACTTCGCAAAATAATTTGCACAAGAAATTATGGACCCATGAGTGCAATATGCGTTAATGTACTTACAATGTGAAACTGATCAATTTTCCCTTTTAGTGAATTAGTTACGTAATTTGATTTCATTTATTTTGCATTTCACCAGAATTTATAGAAAAAAATTGAATTTATTGCTCCTTCTGCAGGTTACAATCATGCCCTAGATGTCCCAACTGGATTCTTCATCGACATGGGAAAATTAGAGGAATTTTATTGTACCTCCTGTGCCTTAGGACCAACACTGTCGACCAAGTCTCTGGAATTCCGCAGTGCAACCATGAAAGTGATTAACATAGATAGCAACTCAATCTCAACTCTGGATGCGGATGCGATCACAGGTATTATCGACTGTTTGCAGTAGCAACGAGTTCTCATTGTGATCTTAATTCCAATTTCCACTGTGCCGTTGGGTGCAGCGCATGTGCAACGTCACGTTCTTTCGTGTTCAAGATCGTGTCTTGTCGCCATTCCAGGTTTGCAGCCCAACACGTTTCTATATTTTAGGGGGAACGAAATTCGGGAATTGACGGAGGTATCATTTCGCCCCATGCTGGAGGTGCTCTCAGTGGGCACTGGGCACATCGATATAGGCGGTGAGATCCTCCTTGACCATAATGTTTAATGACGTTGTCTTTTAGCCCCACCCCTCTGTTTGTCTTCATTGCAGCTAACCCCGTGAAGTGTGACTGCAGCATAGCATGGGTAGTGCTCAATCCTTCCTTTTTGGGAAGCGTGTGGGGTAGATGCACGGATGGAACGTATTTTCAAGACTTGGATCCGATCATTTTTGAAGACTGCGCTAGGAGCGAGCATACTTCAGTAGATGACTATTCCACTTGCATCGACTCCAGAATGAAGTAAATGTGGAAACATGGTGGAATAAATTGTTTTTTTTCCTTGGCTCCATGAATCTGTCTCGAATGTAGGGATAACAAATGAAATGTCCGTGTTCTTTGGTTCCTTGTAAATGATGCTTGGAGGGACACGTGGCAAAGTACTAAACACTCTTGCAAAGGACGATTGGGGGGGGGGGGGGGAGGGAGATCGATACGCCTTGATAGGGGTGGGCAAGCGTTTTAATATTTGGGCCACATGACAAAACACTAAAGCCTCCCTAGCCACAGGAGCACTGAATACTCGAAGTGAAAAATAAATTTTAAAGTTGTTAACATCTTAGTGGCGCACGTGCAGCCCACAGTTTTTTAAAATGAGTTTTTGGAAGTCAGGTGTCGTTTCTGATACGGAGATTAGCAGCACTGTATTCAAATGCCGGGCATTCATTTTTGTCCTCAACTTTTATTTGTTGCTTTTCGACGAGAACGTTTGCCCGTGAACATAAGTGGAACGGAAGAGCACCGGCATTGTCTTGGCATGTGCTCGCAAGTTAGAGAATTTTTGTTTCATTCAGTGATGAGTTATACCAGAGTTGAACATTTCCTCGTGAGATAAATCGCACTTTAAGTCGATCGGTTTCGGTTGAAGTTCGTCTGGAGCTTTCATTGTGTCAAAAAGGTATATCGACAAGACTGCGGCTCGAGCTCCTTCTCAATTTCCTTATTGTCAAAAACCCGCCGGCAAAACTCACACGAGTCACTCGACATCTTCCTGTACTCGTCAGCCGTATACACGGCGATACTCTGCAAAGTGGGGAAATGCGAGATCGCGCTGTCCTTCTGGTTCTCGTAAACGGGAGTAGCTCGAATTGGAGCGTTTTTAACAGTCGGGTCGAGTTCCTGCGCAGGCACTCCCTTGCCTTGCAGTTTCGGATTCCAGTCGTTGAAATGTGTCCATTGCCGTGGACGTTATGTACGCATAACGTCCACGGCGAAGGCAAAGCCAGAGAGCCAATGTGTGTGTCTTGAACGTTGGAAAATCTTCATCTTTACCCTTCGTTTCCAAAAGAAACATGACGATTCCTTCCTTCAGCTTCCACGCTCTCTTCGTCGCTTTTCCTAAATTAGGCCAACGGAAATTGGTGTGATACGCAATATCGGTGTGCTTCGCAACGAAATCTTCAATTTCACAAAGCACCTCAACGTGGCTGATGCAATGAAGAAATAGTAAATATGATCTGGATTCATCTCTTTGACTTTCTCTTCGATTCTTTTTAAAATTTCAACGTTTTAACCAGTTAAGTTGGGAGACCCGTCTGTTGTGACACTAGTTGAATTTTCCTGAGGCAACATCAGTCTTTCGATGCAGTTTCTCCACTCTTATCAAACAGATCCTGTTGTTTAGATTCCATAAACAGCAATTCATAAGTGATTTCAAACGCGTCATCGATGCGTCTTACAAAAATGAGCAGCCGAATTGTCTCAGCGCCATAGAGTACCTCACGATAGAATCCGCTTTCTCACGGAACCGTGCTGGCGAGTCGGCACTAATCTCTTCGTCGCGACGTACCGTTGTGCTGCTAGAAAACTGCGACGGTTTCTTTTTCAGTTAATGCCAAGATCTTTTCTATCTCCTGAAACTTCCGACTTCCTATTTGCAAAGTTTTTTCCACGCCCCTCAGTCCCTCTTGCTTGATTGGAGTCGCATAAAGTTCCTTCAGGATCACATTCAGAAACCACATTCCCAGCGTAATTTTTTTTTGACCTAATAAGTATGGCCTCTAGGTCATAAGCTTTTGATTGACATCTCAATTATTAAAATGTGTTCATCTGTCTAAGAGGAATTTCCCGGAATGACGTACAGAATGACTGAGAGATTAGCTTCTCATGTATATGGATTCATGTCGTATGCATTTTTCGCTCGACCTAGCTAGCAGCCAGGATCGCAAACGCTAAATGTTTAACCGGAATACCTCAGGTGTTTCGCTACCGAGGTCCTCAGGTTTGAATTATCAAGCATAGGCTTAAGGGAAACTCATGTTCCTCGGGACAGTCATGAATCCAGGACATCATATGAAGCTGGTGGAAATGCTTCCGCATTCACTCCAAGTGAATCGTTAGAGCTTCTAATTCAGATGAGCAATCGAAATTTGGCATAGCCACGAAGACGTGTGTGTGCGTGTGTGTGCGTGCGCGCGTGTGTGTGTGCGAGTGAGTGAATGTGCATACGTGTGCGTGCCAAGACACTTTGTTTAGTTGCAAACAATAGTGGTCCTTCAATATATTTCTTACCTGGATGATTTTATGCACTTGCATGGAAAACGAAAATTTCGTGGAAAACGAAAATTTTCCACAAGTGTCATGAAGGAAACATGGGTCTCCAAATGGTAAAAAAAAAAGTCCCTATCCCCAAGAGAGCGGAGACAATTACTTCTCTAGCTAAGCTCTTTATTTAAATCGAGGGGAGTCGCGGATCACTGCAAATCCCATCACGTCGCACAGTCTGCGAAATCCTCCTGATCGAGTTCTTGAATGGGGGGTCCACCATCCGCGCAGGAGGCGATTATGCTTCCGTGAAAGTCCGGACTGAGCACCAGCCAGGCGATCGTACAGTCGCAAACGATGTGATCTGGAACGCGAAAGGAGGCGTGCAGATGATAGAGTTTGCGTCACTGAATCCGCGGACTAGCAGTCGAAGAACTCACNTAAAACTTCTCCAAGGCCGTGAGTCCCTCGAAAAATCCGAGTTGGATTTCCGAAACATTATTCAGATCTGCATGGGGTGAAATACAAGACCCAGCCTTATGATTTGGATATCTGTTCTTATTGCAATGTATTATTTTGGTGCTGGGTAAGGCATAGTAATGCCCAGAATATAGTGTTTCAGCCCTCATTCGGGACATGACTTTTTGAATTGCGAAGAGCAAATACCCTGCTCGGCACCGAATCGAGATTTTCTCGATTTCAAGGGGAAAACACTTTTTTTCGATTTTTTAGATGAAGTGAAACGTACAATAATAGTTCTGGAATCTCCCGTTAGGATTTCAGCAGGCAAACTAACACTACCTGCCTTGCTGTCTTGACAATAGGAGAGAGATGTGCGTTATGCTACGATGTTTCTCGAATCTTCTTACGTGAAACCGATGTTCATGAATTTCATGAAATGTCCATGTATTCCAGGCAAATGAAGAGTGCTAACGGATAAGCAATGTTGCATCAGTTGCCGATTCATAAGAAATATGGGAACATACAAAATTACTTTCCTGATTTGTTGATTAATTCCAGGTACCGTCAGAAGGATGGACGCGTATAAAGAAGTTCACAGGATCTCATGATGCCATGAGAAGTCGGCAATGAGAGGAAAGTAATGAGGGAAGAATTGGCCCCGATGGACGGGTGTGGACACATTTTAAGGGTGACTATGGTGGACGGAGGTGGACATATTCTAAGGGCGACTATGACTTTCTTCGAGTACCTGAAGCCCCCCAATAATTTTTGTTCTCATTATCTTTGGGAGGACTTGCGAGACATGTCGGTAATCATCATCAGATAAGGCATCAGAGCCGACGGACGGACGCTTACTACTCCGCACCAGTCAGTGCCGATTCCCTCGAATGAGATATCCCCGAACATTCTTTCGGAAATCTCGTGGACGTCAAAATTGTGTTCCAGATGGAATCCCCTGTAAGAGATGTGGAGAATAGTGAAACCGCTCGGAACGTTGACAATTTTCTCTCCCTCGCGAGGCATCTCAATCCAGGAAAAGGAATAGCATTCCTTTGCATTTTCTTTTGTAACTATTTCTGACAACGCTCGGAATTCACTTTCGGCATTCTGTTACTGATGAAATCATATGGAGTTTCAAAAAAATGAAGATTGCTTGCATCGAATTAGACCAATCATTTGAGGACACCAGGGCGAAGAGAGCAAGAGATTATGTCCACTTTGTTACGGCTGGCGTATCTCTTCCAGCCAGTTCCCTAGAGGTGATTTTTCTTCTGAAAATTACATCCCATTGCTTTCAGGACTATTCCAAAAATGTTTCACGCAAAATGAACTAAATAATAGCAGAGACCCTAATCTATGATTACTACCGGATGTCATTGGAAGAAAACATATGGGAGACTCTGGAGAGGGTCAGAACACGTCACGTCTGATTTTGGTCTACAGATGGCGAAATCGGAAACATTAATTTTTTTGTCTCTTTAAAATTTGTTTTGAATGAGTCTTTAAAACTGACTTGCCCGAAGTCCACATGCCGAGTTATTAGTTATAATGATGGAATGAAGGGTTCATATCAGATCCGCGTCCTAGAATCATTTCCATCTGGAAGAAAGGTGGGTACTTCCATTATATATTCCTTCCTGGTACCAATAGAACGTTTTCTTACATTACCAGAATGGGAATAGCAAAGTAAAAATGCCATGCATAAGTGAAATTTGATCAATAACGCCTTACCATCACTCGCTGAGGACCAACTTACTCACGTGAGGTTTGTAACGGGCCAAACGGCGTTGTTGAAGGCGGAGAAGATGTCGTCGCTTGTGGTTGCATTGAAGCAGCTGACGTACACTTTATCCTCACCGGATTGGGACATGGGTATTGCCCGGTTGTCGGACGGATGGAAGGGAGAAGGAGGCAGAAAAGGGAGGGAACGATGAAGCGCATCTGCATCTTGGCGGTGGGAGGAAATCGGTAGGACAAAAGGAGAGAAAAGCGAACATGAGTGTGTCCGGCAAGGAACCTCATGTGGAATAGGACATGCCAGCAGGCAAAAGCCGATCTCCCTTCCTTTTTCTATAATTCTAATTGCACGATTAATGATGGAGTGGAGACCCACTGCATCTACCCATTCGTAGAAATAAAAGGTAAGTCTCTTGGAAACGCGTAAAAAGATGTAATATTTTCAAATATAGTTGCATTGCATTTTCCTGCCTCACTTACCAATATACTGTACTGTATTCATGGCCATGTCCGATTGGAATGTGTCTCTCTGAAGCATATTGGTTCTGAAGCTCTCTTATGGAAGGCACTAGTGCGAAAACAATTAATTTGGAATATTTTGGAGCTGAGCTAAATACCT